CAAGGCAATAAATGACCTTTAAAGCCCTAAATGGCCTTGGCCCTGTACGCGGGTGGCGCTGTGATCTAAACCACTGAGCCTCTTGGGCTTGCCAATCAGAAGGTCGGTGATTTGAATCCCTGCAATGAAGTGAGCTCCTGCTGCTCTGTCCCAACTCTTGCCAACCTAGCAGTTCGGAAGCACGTCAATGCAAGTAGATAAATAGGTACTGCTGTGGCAGGAAGGTAAATGGTGTTTCCGTGCGGTCTGGTTTCCATCATGGTGTTCCATTGCACCAAAAGCTGTTTAGTCATGCTGGCCACAGGACCCGGAAAGCTGTCTGTGGACAAACACCGGCCGGCTCCCTCGGCCTGAAAATGAGATGAACGGTGCAACCGCATAGTCACCTTTGACTGGACTTAACCGTCCAGGGGTCCTGTACCTTTACCTGAAGGTGTGTCTCCATCCACATTGTTCAGCCCAGACACTGAAGTCCAGCTCCGAGGGCCTTCTGGTGGTTCCCTCACTGTGAGAAGTGAAGTTACAGGGAACCAGGCAGAGGGACTTCTCGGAAGTGGCACCCGCCCTGTGGGACAACCTCCCAGCAGATGTCATGGAGATAAATGACATGACTTTTAGAAGACACCTGAAGGCTGCCCTGTTCAGGGAAGTTTTCAATGGTTCTTTTATTGTGTTTTTAATATTTTGTTGGGAGCCACCCAGAGTGGCTGGGGCAACCCAGTCAGATGGGCAGGGTACAAATAAAACAACAACAACAACAACTGAGATGACTTGGGAGAAGAGTGGGTGTTTTTTGAAGGACTTGAGGTGTCTTCAGTTGTATTGTGAGGTCACTGATGGTACTCAGCCATGGAAGGTGTCCCTGCAGTCTAGCACAGTAAAGCACATTCAGCCACTGAACTCTGCTGGTGAGGTAGAATAAAAGCAGGGCATGTGACAATGGGTGGCAGTAGCTGCCAGTATGTTGCTGGGCACTACAGTAGTCCTATTTGAGCAGAGCAGCAAGAATTCTAAATTTCAGCAGTGGCTCACTAAAAAGTTTCATTTCTGCTGCAGGAAACACACAGCATTGCAAACATATCCTGGGCAAGGAAAATGATTAGTTATATCACTGGAACTTGTTCAGTTTTGAAGGACGTTGACTCAAGAACATGTTGACTCTGACAAAAGTACATCAACTTATGAAAGGTTGGGGAAAAGGAAATAGGAATCAGATACTTATTGGATACTTGCAGAAATAACAAAAATACTGGGAAAAACCTATTTAAAAATATCTCTCATGGTCAATGTAAACCAATAAATATACAGAAAGAGAACCTACACAATTGACACTGACATAAAAACCCCACGTACGTACCAACTTGACAAAACAACAAGAGTTTACCTCCCACCCTCCACTCCTGCCTTTGGATATCATATTGCTTTACATTTTACTTTGAACGTAACCAAAAGATTGTAACCTGATCAAGAAAAAAAATGAGAGACATTGCACGTTCTTTGTAGTTCATGAAAATCTTTAATAATTTTTTTTAAAGCATTGTTGGGTATTTCAACTTTCAAATAGAGGAGGAAGAAAAATAATAATAAGAATAATAATACAAGAATTGTTGGGTATATTCAGCGGGGACAACCAAGGCTTATTTTATAAGCATTTAATTGGTTACTGGCAGCGAGAATATTGATAGCTAAAAACTGTAAAGTTCAAAAACTGAGAGACTTTTGTAGCAGACTGGTGGCCATTCATCTAGCACATGAACAAAGACTACAGGACAAACTGTGCCTGCCATATTCCATAATATATGGTTGGGTTGACATTTTCCTTTCTATTGATATTAGCAGCTTTCAGTCTCTTTCCACTTCAGTGCTTGTATGAAATTTGCTATTATTGTCTACATCTGAACTATGCCTTCAGGTTGGGGAAAAGCAGGGTGAGGGGGATGTTAAGTTTGTCTTCTTTTCAACAAAACCGCTTCTGGCACAACAAAACACTGTGACGGAACCCAGAGTGCACGCAAACGCCATTTACCTTCCTGCCACAGCAGTACCTATTTATCTATTTGCACTGGAATGCTTTTGAACTGCTAGGTTGGCAGGAGCTGGGACAGAGCAATGGGAGCTCACTCCGCTGCGGGGATTCAAACTGCCGACCTTCTGATCAGCAAGCCCCAGAGGGTCTGTGATTTGGACCACCGTGCCACCCACGGAATAGGGATGACCATATTAAGGGTCTGCAATAATTCTAATACAGTAGTATTGTGAGCAGTTAACAAAGGATATGTTTTTTCTTCTATTTTTTTAGCAAAGACATTTATGCTGGTTCCTCCATCACCACATCCCTACTGCAATGTAGTCCTCTGCAGTTCACAGGTCAATAACGTAAAGCAGGCATAGGCAAACTCGGCCCTCCAGGTGTTTTGGGACTACAACTCCCATGATCCCTAGCTAACAGGACCAGTGGTCAGGGATGATGGGAACTGCAGTCCCAAAACATCTGTGGGGCCAAGTTCGCCTATGCCTGACATAAAGCATAACTCTGTCCTGCCATTTTGTGTTTGCTTTTAGGTACAAAATGGTGGCCTTCTGTTCGGTGGCTGTTCTTGCTGGGAATTCAGAAAGGTCAACCCAGGAAACTGAAATGTAAGGGAGGGGGTTGGAAATCTAGTTACTTGTCCCCAATTTCCTGTTTCTTTTTCCCCACTAACAGCGTTCAGTCACTGACTTGCACACTCCTGCACTTCTGGTTGGCTAGAACATTGGATGGGTGAGTTAAAATAGTGTATGCAGGTGAAGCAGAGCAAGCAGAGGAAAGAGAGATATACAAATCAGAAGAAGGAAGTTACAAAAGTGAACTAAAACAAGAAGCAAGAAGGCTGGAAGCAGAGCTGTCAGTGAGCTGAAAGGAATGGCTTTATTGCCAGAACTTTATTGCTAGGTTTGGGGGGAGTATTTTGGGGAGAGCCAGAGCTTAGTAACTGAGCACCCGCTTTGCATGCAGAAAGTCCCAGGTTTGATCCCATGCATTTCCAGGTAAGGATGGGAAAGACCCGTGTCTGAACCCGGGGGAGCCACTACCAGCCAGTGTCTACAATATTGGGATGGATGGCCCAATGGTCTGACTCAGTGTAAGGCAGCTTCCTGTATGTTATGTCTTGGCTAAAGTAGAGAAATGGTAGACATATATCAGTAATGATTACATTAATATAATGAATAAGGTTTAGATGGGTGCATTCCCCAACATATGTTATTTTCTTAATAGCTGTTATGGCTAACTATTAAGCTCTTCTGAAATCTGTTTCCTCCCCTATAAATATTACACTAACTCTGTATATATCCCCTATAAATATTACACTAACTTTTTCAAAACTATTAGTAAAAGAAACCCCTACATTTTAAATTTGGTCTGATCTTATAATTTTCACCCCAGGCCTAGAGAGAGCCCTCTTGGTCAGTAAAGGAAGTCTGTAAAAGATAAAGCTGTCATGGAGAATAAAGTGCAGTTCAGCAGAGGCAGGCTGGAAAAATAAAGACAACCACTTTGCTGTGGGGAGGACCACAGGAAATTAAGGGTCAATCAGGGGCTAAGGCCACGTACATCTTAGGGTATTGAAATGGAGCAAGGGCGTCCCAGCCCCCGCTGCTGTGTTTCAAGTCGCATTTCATATACCGTATATAATTTTAATTACATTTTCTGTTTTACACTTTAAAGTAGTCATTTTTACATCCTTAAGATATCAATGACTTCCCTTCTTCTCTTTCCATGGTTCATTTTATATATCATAAATCCCTGCATATTTTACAGAAACTATACCATTCAGTATTCCATTATTACATCCATCGTAACTTATTTACACTGTTGAATTTATCTTAATGCTGCCAGCATTTTCAGCTGTACACAGTGATTTCCCATATAGTCAATAAACATTTTCCAATCTTCTCTAAATGTATGTTCTTATTGTTCTTCCAAGTCCCTTTTTATGTTGCTGTTCACACCAGAGAGGGGGTGGAGATGCCTTCCCCAGATGCCCATTACCCGATTTGTTTCCCCTCACTGACCTCCAATTCACTGAAGTTGTCTTCTGCACATGTACAACGGCTGCCTGAAATGTATGCACCTCACCTTGACCATCGCTTCGATTTTCTAAACACCTGGAAGCTAGTTTAAGGGAAAGAGCATTTCTCAAGAAGCTGCGGGATACCTATGGATTGCGGCTAATGTCGTGTGTATTTGGTTTCAGACTGCAATGGTGGTGGAGTAAGCAGTAATGTGCACACAGCCTACCGTAATTTAGCTGATTTGTTACCTTTTCCTCTCTCCCAGGTTGTAGGCTCCAGTGCACACAGTCATGGGTATAAATAAGTTTTTCCTTTTGCAGTGTAGCCTGACAGTTCTGGGTAGCTGGAGAGAAGTAATTCACAAGTGCACATCATATACTACCTTAAATCTCTGCCACATCATCTAGTTGCCTTTCCCGATTCCCCAGTTCCAACAGTTTGCGGTGGAGGGGAGATGGGGCAACCTTTAGCCCTCCAGATAAAAGCTACCTTATATTGAATGAGGCTATTGCACCACCTAGCTCAGTATTGACTACACTGACTGGCAGCAGCTCTCCCAGATTTCAGACATGTAGTCTTTCCCAGTTCTACTTGGAGATGCTAGGATTGAATCTGGGGCTTTTCCAGGCAAAGCAGAACCACTGAGCTGCCACATCCCCCCAACTCCCACCAGCCCCTGCCGGCATGGCCAGTGGTCGTGGATGGTGAGAACTGTAGTCCAACAACATTTGCAGGACCACAGATTTTCTCCCGGTGCGCTCATGGGCTTTGAAGTTGCAATGTGTCCACCCCACCCCCCATGCCACCTTTCTCAAATGAAGTCTGGGGTGAGTTGCGCGGGTGGGAAATGTGGGGTTTTCAGCCACAGATGTATGGACGGCGAAGGCGATTTGGCACTGCCCACTACCACCACGAGGTCAGCTGGGCACAGACCAGCAGTGGGGCACCGGGTGGCGACCAGAAAGAGGACTTGCATGGGCGGCCACGTGGTTTCCTCGGGGCTTTCGACAACTCGGGAGTGCATGTGTGTGTGGGTGTGTGTGCACAAGTTGGAGGGGGAAGGCGAGGAGGAAGCTGCGATGCGGGAGGAGCCCACAGAAAGTCCCCTCCTCGCCGGCTCGTTTGTGCTGCTGGAGGTGCGAGGCAGGAGCGAGATCCGTATGTTTGAGTGTGTTTGTGTGTGTGTGAGAGAGAGAGTCCAAGATCCTTGTATCCAGAAGCAGCAGCAGCAGGTGGACTCTCTTTATTCCCCCCTTCAAGACAAGCAGCTGCTGCAGCCGGCTAAGGAAGCAGGGCTCTTCCACCCCCGTCGACTATGGAGAGAAGGCGGCGGGGATGCGACTGAATCTTCGCCGCGGGTCTGAGGAACAAAGGAACTCCTGCTGAAGGAGGAGAAGAAGCGAGGGGGCCCCAGGCGCGTTGCTTCCCCGCCACAGAGCCGCTTCCAGGCAGAAAGAGAGAGAGAGAGAGAAAAACCCATCTCTTTAGCGCGAGAACCAAGATCGAGGGAGGCTTCCATCCCGCTCCCTTTCTGTCCAGATCCTTTATTTTATGGGCGCAGCGAAACCCGGAGCTCCGAAGAAATCCCCCTCCACTAGCCATGGCACTTTCCGGGGTGCGCCGGGAACTTGGGCTTGGGATCCCCGGGGTGCTCGCCGCTTGCCGGACCTCCTTTTTTCGGCACCTTCTCTTCATCCGGAATGACTTTTCAGCCTAGCCCACTTTGACTCGAGTTTGTGTGTGTGTGAGAGAGAACGGGGCACTTGCGCTCTCCGCCTTCCCGGGAGCCGGCGAGCTTTTTCCAGCCATCCTGAAGGTTTCAAAAGCTGCTCCCCTCCTGGATGCCTGCTGAGGGGCTGGTTTCCCGCGCAGGGTGGGAGTTTTCTGAAGTGAGCTTGTGGCGGCCTCCCGAGAGGAAGGAGCTCTTCCCGCCTCGAGTTCCCCAGGAGGCGCCTTCCTGCCCAGGCTGAGTGCATGCGCGCCAGTCCCACCAGGCTCCTCTGCTCCCGCCATGGCCTTCACGTTTGCTGCCTTTTGCTACATGCTCTCCTTGGTCCTGTGTGCCGCCCTCATCTTCTTCGCTATTTGGCATGTGAGTAGCTCTTTCCCGCAAATCCTCCCCCTACTCTCTCTCTCTCTCTCTCTCTCTCTCTCTCTCTCACACACACACACACACACACACACAAATTCCACTTTCCACCATTTCCAGTCACCTCTTCTCTTTAAACAACCTTACATTCGAAGCAAATTCTTCCATAGCTGTCAACTTTCCCCTTTTCTTGCGAGGAATCCTATTCCGGAATAAGGGAATTTCCCTTTTGAAAAAGGGAAACGTTGACAGCTATGAATTCTTCTCCTCAAAGAATTCAGGGCATTGCCGTTTACCCTTCGCAGAGTTTCAGTTCCTAGCAACCCTTAGCAAACTACAGGGCCCAGAGTTCTTCGAGGGACAAAAATGTGCTCCAGATGAGTTTTGAAGGTATGCTGCACATGCGAGCCTTATTCTTGTTCCTCGTAGATAGTTCGCACTTGTGTCAACCTGGTGCTTCCAGCATCTGGAAATCCCATCTCCCATCAGCCCTGGCCAATGTTGCCGATGGCCAGGGGCGATGGAAGTTGTAGTCCAAAAATTTCCAGAGGAAGGCTAGTTTGTGCATGACATGCTTATCCCTTCATGACTGGAACATCTGGGAGAGCAAAGGCTACAGCTTTTAACACCACCTCATGGGCAATGCTTTTCAATGGGGACAACTGACACATCCAGGTGCTGGTTGTCAGGGATGTACAGAAGCTCCCACCCCCCATTTCCAGTGACTGGATGCAAGGGGTAGTGGAATTACGCAGGCTAGCTGCATCTCCAAATGCAGTGCGGTTCCCAAGCATGTCCCCCACCCCCAGACCACTTGAACATTGGTGATGGTCTTGGTTAAGGTTACCAGACGTCTCCGTTTCCCGGGCACAGTCCCCGGATTTACAAATCAGCCCCCTGACAAAATCCTATCATTCCTACTGAAGTTGAAAAGTGTCCCCGGATTCATTGAAAAAAATCTGGTAACCTTAGTCTTGGTGGACCACTTAATGATTTTTCTGCCTTCTGTAGCAATTGTAATGTGCTATTCTAGATACTGAATGATATACAATATAAGAAATAAAAGAAGCAATTAAAATACAATTAAAGTCAATGTGAATATGTAATGCAGACATGCCATGGACCACCTGAATGATGCTCACGGACCACTGGGTCCAGATCCCGGAAAAAGGCAGGATATAAATAAATATAATAATAACCCTTGCCCTAATGGGTGTTCATTGAGTCAGTATGAAGGTGACTTGCATTTGCACAGATATATGCCCATAGATATCATACGTGAATGGGAATCCTGGCCAGTTACAATTCTGATTTGTATAGAGAGGACCCGTATGCAGCTACCTGTATGTATATGCATGTCTTTCACACTGGCGCTAGAAGTACAGCTGACAGGAAATGTGGCAAACGTGTGTCGGTGTAGCTACCAGGTGTAACCTTGTTGCACCCCACCTTCATGATTTGAATCTGAACACTTATTGTCACTAATCAGGTGTAGACAAATTAAGTGATCTTATTTGTGAACGACACATTTATCAGGTTTATTTTCAGCCCCTGCCTCATGAGTTCGGCTTTTCCCAGTGGCTTAAAAGTTGTATACTTTGCCAGACAAGTTACTCAGCTACTTGGTAGAAAGTCAAGAGCAGTCCACAAAATATGTCACACATTTGAAAGGAGGTGTGTGGAGGGAGGGTTGGGGAAACAACTTGTCAAATTGCCTTACTGATAGGATTTTATGATGATCAAGTCAGGAGAGCCATTGTGGTGTAGTTAGGGACTAGGACTGTGAAGATCTGGTTCGAATCCCCACTAAGCCATGAAGTTCACAAGGTGACCTTGGGCAATCCACTATCTCTCAGCCTATCATATTTCACAGGGTATATGTGATGATAATATGGGGAAAAGAAGAGAGTTGCGTATGTTATCCTTGTTCCTTGGAAGAAGGGTCAGATATGAACGTAGCAAATAATAAATGCTACATTCCTCCTCCTTGAAATTTCCACCCACAACGTGGGCTTTCCTCTTGTTGTACTAAGCATCAGATACTAGTAGTATTCATTAGCAATCTTCACTTGATATCACCTGCAGCTCCTTCTCTGTGCCAGAGTGTGCTATAGTCAAATGGATACTCTAGACAAGATTCAGAAAAACTAGACATAAGTGTTCAATGGTAACAAAACAAAATTAGACAAGGTATGTTTTGTTCAGACTGGTTTTCAGCCTGCTCCTCCATCTGGAAAACCATCTTTTTATATAGCTGATTCATGGGTAGTTAAATTAGATTTTTAAAAAATGTTTTGGGAAATAGTTATCTTTATCAAGCAGATTCACTCGGATAAGTACCACCTTCTCAAATCCAGGGGTGGGGATGCATAATATTTCCTGAATGTAAGGACCCAAATTTGTTAGGGTGCTTGTTTTCACAACCAGGACATAAAAACCCTTATCCACCATCTGAAAACATAGCTATGTACTTATTCAAAACATGTTGTTCTTGATTGTCAGGTAATCAGAAATTTGCTCTTGGGAATCTTCTACCTGAAAGCACAGATGCATAGATGCCACCTTTTGATGGGATGCTGTTCTTGAGGTCCAGGCCTTCAGAATATCCTCTTGCCTATAAGGGATGAAGTACATGAGTCCTTGGAGATCCATAATTGCATCTCTTGTCTCTTTTAATTTCTTTCAACAGCAGCCCTAATGAGGGAAGTATCAGCTGGAGGGGGGAATTTAGATGAGCAAAATGATGGGCAGGAGGATTAAGTCCCATCCCTCAACACTGTCATCCTGATCTAATCCCCCCTGGCTTCTTTTGGAATAAATTAAAAAGAGATGGAAGATCGAATCACAGAACTCTAAAGTCTTGTCAGGTTGGGCCCTCAGAGTCTGTTATCTAAAGACACAGGTATCAACATTTGATGGAAGTACTGTTTTTGATTGGTCATCAGAAATTCTTGCCCATCAGAATCTCCTATCTAAACAGCTATCTATTTATCATAAATAAGATGAGATGCTTTTTAAAAATAGCACTTCTAAATATATATTTCTCTCAATACACTTAGTACATTAGTCACTCATACAGAGCTCTACAGGTTTGGCTGGCATCGGTAGCCAAAGATGTGGCTGTTAAGCCCTTACTTACCCTTCCCGGGTCATTGACCTTGCATTGCACCTCTTAAAGGGCAGTCCCCTGCTCCCCTCTGTTTGGCACAGGAAAGAATAGCCAGGTTGTTGATTTAGCTGCTCTATTGGCAACACAGATCCCAAAGTTGCTTTTGTTAGCTACTTTGAACATACCTGCTTGAGAAGGAAAGTGTGGGTTATAAATGTTGCAATGAATGAATGAATAGATAAAATAAGTCCTCTGGCCTTCCTTCCTACCTTGAAGCTGGGGAGGGGGATGGAATCACTGCAAATGTGTTGGGGTGATCCCTGCCTACTGCTACAGCTCCAAGGAAGGCTATTGGCTTCTCCTGATCAGCAGAGGGTGTCATCACATTCACCATAGTGAATGGAAGTCTGTTCCTTGATTGCCTGGCACATTGCTGTCATTTGCAGTACTGAATGAATCATTGAACAACAAAAAAAGCAAAGTAATATCCATTGGGGTTAATAAAACAACATGGACAATGTTATTTTATTTAGTTATTGGTCTGAAATGTGACCCCACAATGCCTCTCTAATTGCATTGATATGGATTGTAGTTATTTACTCATGAGGCAATCTGCACATGGTCAGATGGTTTGATATTTCCACCCATGGTCAAGTGTTGTTCACATTTACAGGATTGTGCCACAGCATTTAAGTAAGGTTCTGATGCCATGCTTTGATGAACCTTGGCTCAAGTGAAATCTCTTTATATATTCACATGACTCAATTTTATGGGAAATTCTGGTTCCATTTGGTAAGTGGCTTACGCGAAAATGCTTGTCATGGAGTTTATGGAGTGAGAAAGTGCATGTTTGTGTTAGTGAGGAAACCATGGCATTCCGTACTTGTTCTAGGTCTTTTTAATGGGGGTGGTCAGCTATTTTCCTGATTTGGTAGTGGTCTGCTTGCTATTTTCCTTCTTGTGTGCTAGATCAGGGTAGATCGACATGTTTGGGGGGCCCTTGACATGTTGGACTGCACCCTTGCTAGTTGGTCATGCTTGCTGGGGCTGATGGGAGCTGAGTCCAGCAACATCTGGAGGGCACCATGCTAGCTGCCCCTGCGCTACACAGAGAACATATTGGTAGTTAAGTTTAATACGCTCTGCTTAGGACCTGTGTATTCTTTCATATAAGAGTTTATTGTGTCTTGGTTGTCAGACACTATGCCCCAAGAAACCTGGGTACCTGTGTTAAGGGAATTTTGACAAAGGTAGAAGATTCTGATAAGTATGAGCTGTTGTTGGCTTGGTTGGCAAAAGCAGGACAATCAAATATTGGTATTCATGTAGAAGATTGACTAGTGTTTGTCTTTGACTCAACCTAGAGAAGAATATACTCATATTTTACATTTTAATGTATTTTTATTTACATCAGTAAATACAGATATAGTAGTTATGCAAAGCTTTGGTGTCTGGGCTGGATGAAATAGTCCATGCCTACTAGATGCTGAATGTACATCTTTGTCGTTATTAGATATCCACAGCAACATGTGTCTCAGCGAAATGACCATATCATGCCAGACAGAAGTTTGCTGCCGCTGTGTGTCTCTGCTATGTATGGACTGCATTCTATGCCATTAGGAACACTGTCTGTTAGGAGGATTGTATGTATGAGATATAGAATTGTAGAAATGTAGAGTTGGAAGGGACTTCAAGCGTCATCTAGCCCAACTCCCTGCAATGCAGGAATCTCAACTAAAGCATCTACGACAGATGGCCATCCAAACTCTGCTTAAAAACCTCCAAGGAAAGAGACTCCTCCACCTCCCTAGGGAGTCCATTCCACTGTCAAATAGCTCTTACCGTCAGAAACTTCTTCCTGATTCTGAGTCAGAATCTCTTTTCTCATAAGCTG